AGAACTAAAGTGCAGCAAACATTTGATGGGGGCCCTCCTCTCCTCAGTACCCTTGGGGGCCCCCGGGGGCCCCCGGGGGCCCCCTGGGGCCCCCTGGGGGCCCCCTGGGGGCCCCCAGTGGGGTGGGGCCCCCACGGCGTGGTGCACCATTGTGTATAAATGTTATCTAGAAATAATATTATTTATTTATTTATTTTATTTATTTATTTGTTTATTTGTTATTTATTTTTATTTATTTTTATTTATTTCTTTATTTGCCACTTTTGGCTTTCTCGTGGCTGACTGCCTGGCTTGGCCCCAAACCCTAAACCCTAAACCCTAAACCCTAATCCCTATACCCTACACTATAATCTCCAAGCCCTAGACCCTAAGCTCTAAGCTGTAAACCCTAAACACTAAACCCTAAACCCTAAACCCCAAAAACGCGCCAATGCAGGCCGCTAGCGTCTTCGCCTTAAGCCTGTGTACAACCTGCTACAGCAACAGCAGCTGCAGCAGCAGTAGAAGCAGCAGCAGCAGCAGCAGCTGCTGCAGCAGCAGTAGCAGCAGCAGCAGCTGCTGCTGCTGCTGCTGTAAGCCAGAGCTAGCTGCAGGTTGCTGCAAGCAGCTGGGGTGGTTCAGGTGTATAGGCAGCTGTTTCAGGTGTATAGGCAGCTGTTTCATGTGTATAGGCAGCTGTTTGAGGTGTATGTACACCTCAGGGCTGGCATTTTGTGGGGTGAGAAAAGAGGAAATAAAAGAGCAGCAGAAAAAGAAGAAAATAAAACTAAAAAAGAAAAAGAGATAAATAAAATGAAATTGGAACAAAAGGAGATTAAAAGAGACAAAAAAACTTTTTTTTTCTTTTTTCTCTTCAGTTTTGTCTCCTTCTTGCTGCTTCATTCACCAGCGGCAACTCTACTTGAAGGGCCCACAGCAGCAGCTGCAGCAGCGGCAGCAGCTACAGCAGCTGCAGCAGCTGCAGCAGCTGCAGCAGCTGCAGCAGCAGCCACAGCAGCTGCAGCAGCAGCCACAGCAGCTGCAGCAGCAGCCACAGCAGCTGCAGCAGCAGCAGCAGCAGCAGCAGCAGCAGCAGCAGCAGCAGCTTCACTAAAGGGAGTCTAGGCCGTGCATGTAGACCTCAGCAACAGCAGACTGCAGCAAACGAGAAAGAATCAAAGAAGACAGCAGCGGCAGCCACTCAGTGCCCCAGCAGCTGCCTCCAGACACAACTGCTGCTGCTGCTGGTGTTGCTGCTGCTGCTGCTGCTGCTGCTGCTGCTGCTGCTGGTGTTGTTGTTGCTGCTGCTGCTGCTGCTGCTGTTGCTGCTGCTGCTGTTGCTGCGGCTGCAGCTGACGGGGGCGGGATGGCCGTCACTGGGGCTGCGCGGCAGACTGCTGCTGCTGCTGCTTCTGGCTCTGCTGCTGTTGCTGCTGCTGCCTCTCCTGCTGCTGCTGCTGCTGCTGCTGCTGCTGCTGCTGCTAGGGGTGAAGCTGCTGCTGCAGGGGAAGGGGGGGACTGAAGCAAATAAGAACAAAATGCAGCAAACAGCAGCAAATAAATTAAAAAGATAAAAGATAAAAAGAAACAAAAAGAGATTGAAAGAAAGTAAAAAGATAAAAAATAAAAGGAGACAAAAAGAAACAAAAGAATAAAAAAGATAAAAAGAAATAAAAAAGTCACAAAGACAAAAGAGACAAAAAAGGACAAAAGGAAAATAAAAGGAGATAAATGAGAAATAAAAAAGAAATAAAAACCACAAAAAATAAAAAAAAGAAAAAGAAGAAAAAAGAAACAGAAAAATAAAAAAAAGCAAAAAAGAAACAAAAAGACACAAAACGAGAAAGGAAAAAAGAAACAAAAAAAGAAAAGGAAAAAATAAAAATAAAAATAAATATAAATATAAATATAAATATAAATATAAACATAAATATAAATATAAATATAAATATAAATACAAATACAAATATAAATATAAATATAAATATAAATATAAATATAAATATAAATATAAATATAAATATAAATATAAATGCAAATATAAATATAAATACAAATATAAATATAAATATAAATGTAAATATAAATATAAATATAAATATAAATATAAACATAAACATAAATATAAACATAAACATAAATGTAAATATAAATATAAAAATAAAAATAAATAAAAACAAAAATATAAATGTAAATATAAATATAAAAATAAAAATAAATAAAAACAAAAATAAATAAAAAAGAAAATAAAATACTGACCTCCAAAAAGGGGCATTTAATTTGTCGGAAGTTTTTAATTAAAGGAGACCAGAATTTAAATTCCTGCTGCAGCAGCAGCAAGCTGCGGCTGCCGCCTGCTGCTGCTGCTGCTGCTGCTGCTGCAGCAGCGTGCTGCTGCCTGAGCCGCTGCAGCAGCTGCTGCTGCTGCAGCAGCTGCTGCCGCACGCGCGGGGTGTACGTACACCTCAGCGGAAACTGCTGCACAAAAGGGACTGTCTCTTCCAGCAGCAAATCTTCAATTAATTCTTTTGTTTTTTCTTTTTTAATTATTTCACTCAGCAGCAAAACGCAGAGTCTGCAGCAGACCCTCCCGCACACTTCCAAGATGCCTCCAGGGCCCCTGGGGGCCCCCGGGGGGCCCCCTGGGGGCCCCCCCAGGGGCCCCTCCTGCGGCCTTTCTTGGGGGGCCCCCCGGGGGGCCCCTTGCTGCTGCACCGCCTCTTGGGGGCCCCCTGCAGCTTCTTGGGGCCCCTCTTGGGGGGCCCCCAGGGGGCCCCCCAAGGCCTCCCAGGCGGGAGCCTCAGCTACTCCATGGGGGCCCCCTGAAGTTGGGGGCCCCTGGGGGCCCTCCTGGGGGCCCCCCTCGAGGGCCCCCTGGGGGTCCCCCTGGGGGGCCCCCTTGGGGGCCCCCTGGGGTGAACCCTCCGAAGGCCCCTCGGGGGGCCCCTGGGGGGGCCCCCAGGGAGACCCCTGGGGGGGCCCCCAGGGAGACCCCTGGGGGGGCCCCTGGGGGGCCCCCTGGGGGGGCCCCTGGGGGGGCCCCTGGGGGGGCCCCTGGGGGGGCCCCTGGGGGGCCCCCGGAGGGTCTAATGGGGTTTTGTGTCTGTGGGGTCTTTGAATAAAAGGTAAGGGCTGGGGGCCCCTGTGAGTTAGCTGGATTGTCTCCTCGAGGTGTCTAGACGCCTCAGCCTCCAGCAGCAAAAAGAGAGGGCCCCACACCTCGTACAAGCTGCTGCTGCTGCTGCTGCTGCTGCTGCTGCTGCTGCTGCTGCTGCTGCTGCTGCTGCTGCTGTTGGGGGGGCTGTCGAGGCCGCCAGGGGCCCCCTCACCCAGGGGGGCCCCTGGGGGCCCCTGGGGGCCCCCAGGGTCTGGGGGCCCCACGTCAGGGGTCACTTCGAAGTCCTGTAGAAATAAAAAATAAAAAATAAATAAAAAATAAAAAATAAAGGAAACACAAAAGGAGATTAAAAGAAATAAAAAGGAAATAAAAAAGAAAGAATAAAAATGAAAAATTAAATGAAAATTAAATAAAAAGAAATAAAAAAGAAACAAGCTAAGAAAACGAAAAGAAAGAAAAAAGAAAAATGAAGAAGAAAAGAAAAGGAAACAAAGAAATAAAAATAAATAAATTAATTAATTAAAAATAAATTAATTATTTTTAAATTAAAGAAATTACAAACTGCAAAAAGTAATCAAAAAAGAATCCGTATTGCAAAAGCTGCAGAAGCTAGAAGGGCCCTTAGAAGCCTCCTTAAACCCTAAACCCTAAACCCTAAACCCTAAACCCTAAACCCTAAACACTAAACCCTAAACCCTAAACCCTAAACCCTCGGTTTGCAGCTTGTGCTTGCCTTGATTTCTTTTTCAATCCTTCTTTTCATTTGCAGCGACTTGGAAGCAGAAACGGCACTTGCTGTCAGCCGCCTCCGCCGCTGCTGCTGCTGCTGCTGCTGCGCCAGGCTCCGTGTTGCTGCTGCTGCTGCTGCTGCTGCTGCTGCTGCTGCAGCAGCAGCAGCAGACCGCTCCGCTGCCTCCGTTGCTGCAGCCGCGTTATACTCTGCAGCAAACAAAGGAGACATCACAGAGAAGGGGCCCTAAAAGGGGCCCCACGAGGCCCCTCAAGGGGGCCCCCTTGGGGGCCCCAAGGGGGCCCCCAAGGGGGCCCCCAAGGGGTTCCATAAAGGAGTTTTAGGGGGCCCTAAGGGACTTTAAAGGGGCCCCCAGAGGGCCCCCAGTGGGCCTTTAAAGGGGCCCTAAAGAGGCCTCAAAAGGGGCCCCAGGGGGCCCCTTTCGGTCTCTAGTGGGGCCCTCAAGGGTTTAAAAGGGCCTCAAAAGGGTCCAAAAGGGCCCCAAAGGGGGCCCCCAAATGGCCCCTAAAGGCCCCAAAAGGGGCCTCCAGAAAGCGCCCCTGGGGCCCCCAGGGCCCCGCAGGGAACCTAGGGGCCCCCTGGGGGCCCCCAGGGGCCCCCAGGGGCCCCCTGGGGGCCCCCAGGGTCACTGGAATCCCCCGAGACCCCCAGGGGCTTTAAAGGACCCTAAAGGGTCCTGGGGGCCCCCAAGGGGCCCTTGAGCACTCTTTGGGGGGCCCCCTTGGGGTCTGTTGCGGGCCAGGCTTACCTAGTGGGGGGGCCCCTGGGGCCCCTGGGGGGCCCCCGGGGGGCCCCTGGGGGGCCCCCTGGGGCCCCTGGGGGGCCCCCAGGGGCCCCTCGTCCGGAGAATCGGCCCACTGGATGCAACACCTAATTAGGGTTTTAATTTTGGCCTCCATGTTGGGGAGGTGTACAGACACCCAAAAGAGACAGTCTTCGCCGGGGCGCAGCACGCCTAACGCACAAACCCTAAACCCTAAACCCTAAACCCTAAACCCTAGACCCCACACTTTAAGGGAGCAGGCGAGGGACCCTCGAGCTGCAGCCGCTGCCCGCTGTCTGCAAACCCTAAATGTGTAGACCCTTTCCGCCTAAACCCTAAACCCGAAACCCTAAACCCTAAACCCTAAACCCTAAACCCTAAACCCTAAACCCTAAACTCTAAACCCTAAACCCTAAACCCTAAACCCTAAACCCTAAACCTGCACCTCTTTGGGGAGTAATTGTGAGTTCGAAAGGAAGTTGGGGAAGAGCCCAAAAGAAGAAAAGGGTTTTGTTGGGGTGTACGTTCACCAGAGCTGTCAGGCTGCTGCGGCAGCACCTGAAAAAAAACAAAAAGAAATTAAATTAAATTAAATTAAATTTAATTTAATTTAATTAATTAAATCAATTAAATCAATTAAATTAAATTAAATTAAATTAAATTAGCTAAATTAATTAAATTAATTGAATTAAATTATATTAAATTATGTTATATTAAATTGATTTTTGAATTAAATTAAATTAAAGGAAATTTAGTATACAATACAATATATAAATTAAAATGAAATTAAATAAATTTGAAAACTTTAGAACTTTAGAGAAAGTAAAAATGATATAAGTGAAATAAGTAGTTAAACAAAATAACGAGAAACAAAAGAAAGAAAAAAGATTTAGAGAAATTAAAAATGATTTAAACAAAACAAGAAGAAATTAGTAAATAACAAAAAAAATATAAAAAATAAAACAAATAAAACAAATATATAACTAAAACAAATGAAACAAATAAGACAAATAAAATAAATAAAACAAATAAAACAAATAAAACAAATAAAACAAAACATATAAAAGAAATAAAACTAATAAAGCACATACAAAAATTAAACAAATGAAACAAACAAAACAAATAAATAAATAAAACAGATAAAAGTAATAAAACAAACGGAAGAATAAACCAAGTACATAAATAAAACAAACAAAGCAGCTAAAACAAATAAATAAATAAAACAAACAAAAGAAATAAAAGAATAAAACAAACAAAAAAACAAAACAAAAAAAACAAAAGACGAACCTGAAGGGAGCAGCACTGAAAGAAATGACTTCGCGAGTTAATTTGGCACTGAGAGGAACAAAAAGACTTTTTTTGTTTTTGCAAAATCCCAAAAAACTCTTTTGCATGCACGCGGTGTACGTACACCCCGAGTGCATGCATGCGGTGTACGTACACCCCGAGTGCATGCATGCGGTGTACGTACACCCCGCGCTGTACGTACACCCCGTGCATGCAACGAGGAAGCGCAGCCGCTCCTGCCCCACAGCTGCTGCTGCTGCTGCTGTTTCTGCTGCTGCTGCTGCTGCTGCACCTGCTGCTGCTGCTCCTGCTCCCGCTGCTGCTGCTGCTGCTGCTGCTGCTGCTCGGTAGCGAACTGACACGGGCAGCTGCTGCTGCCCTACACGGGAGGGGCGCAGCACAGCAGCAACAGCAGCAGCAGCAAAAGGGCCGAGGCGGCCCTCGCGGGGCTGCAGCAGCAGCACGGGTTTTGGGGTGTACGTACACTCCAAACCCTCGCCCGCCGGAGACTCCAAACCCCAAAAAAGGGTTTTGCAGCTCATGTTCCGCAGCTCAAACAGCTGCAAGCAACCCTCGCCGCTCCCGATGCTCACGGGAGACAACTGAAACGCAAACCCTAAACCCTAAACCCTAAACCCTAAGCCCTAAACCCTAAACCCTGGCGACACCAGCCGGCGTGCCGGAGAGCTGCAGTAGGAAAAATCGCTGTGCAACTGCCAAGCTTCTGTAAGCAAAGATTTTGCGTCAAGGGTTTAGGGTTTAGGGTTTAGGGTTTAGGGTTTAGGGTTAATGGCCAATGGCTTCGGGTTTCTGTTGGCACGTTGGGTGCACTCCGGGGCTCCCGGCTCAGGCTTTAGGGTTTAGGGTTCAGCGCTGAGGGTTTAGGGTTTAGGGTTTAGGGTTTAGGGTTTAGGGTTTAGGGTTTAGGGTTTACTTGAACAATGGGGGGCGCGTAAAGTGCTGGGGCCGGCTGGCTCTCGAGGAAAAGGCGAATGGCCTTTCCGTTTACAACATGAAGAATTAGCTGCGCCTTTATCCCTTCCTTTTGCTGCTGCTGCTGCTGCTGCTGCTGCTGCTGCTGCTGCTGCTGCTGCCGCTGCCGCTGCAGCAGCTGCAGCAGCACCTGCCCAGTGCCTTTGGGGGACAGCCGCAAAGTTGAGGGGTTTACAAACACCAGTGAACCCTCCTCTTCCTCCTCGTCCTCCTGCTCAAACCCTAAACCCTAAACCCTAAACCCTAAACCCTAAACCCTAAACCCTAAACCCTGGATTCTACAAGCTGATATCTAAGCTTTTCGGCCTGCATGACAAAGCTGAATGCAGGCTCTGGCGTAGCTCGGGGCGCCGCTTCCAAAACGTAGGCCTCAGGGTTTAGGGTTTAGGGTTTAGGGTTTAGGGTTTAGGGTTTAGGGTTTGGTGTTTACGTCTTTCATCCAAAAAGGCACAGACAAAACCCTAAAGTGTTTTCGTGTGAGGACTCTGAGCTCGACTGGAGTGTCTCCGGGGTTGAGGAAAGTTAGGAGGAGGCGGGAGGAGACGATCCCAGCGATCCCAGCGATCCCAGAAACCCCACAGATCCCATCGATCCCATCGATCCCATCGA